CATGTCCACCTGTGCTGCTTCCACTGCCGCCTGGCGCGGGAAGCGCCTTCTGCCCGCTCTCCTCAGTCTCTGCTTCTATGCGCCGCTGTTTCTTGTAGTACGGTTCGCTCTGGGCCAGTCGCTTGAGCAACTCGCGTGCCTTCTCGTCGGTCTTCTCGTATGCTTCCATAGCTCCTCTGCCCTCCTCAATCTCCTTCTCGTGTTCCTGCGCATAGAACTGTCGATTGATGTCGCTTTGCGGGCCGGGCGCCACCATCTTCAGCGCTGCATCACGGACAACAATGGGCAGGCCGAAGGACAAATCCAGCATGCAGCACTGGCAGCAGTTCTTCAGACGGGCGCATGTGAGGCATATGTTGGTGCGCTTCTGTCGGGCGGTCCGGTCGGCTTTCCAGCGGAAGATGGTGAATGGGCGCGTGCATATCTTGCATTCCTGGAGAGTCAGTATGCCTTCACATGTGAATAGCGCAACGGCCGCTGGAGATAGGCAGCCCAAGCTGGGTGGCACTTACAGCTCCATGATCTTCCTTCAGCATCTGTACGTAGGGGTTGTCCGGCAGACATTTCTCGCACACGGACGGGAAATCGGTCGTCTCCCAGCCGGACCTGTTGAGGTCCTGCTTGATCTGCGGCGGCATGTCGAGGTGAGTAGGCGCGACTCAGATAGGATGTCGTAGGTTATAGTCGACAAGCGACTTCAGTGAGCGTATCAGTAGTCGTCGAGTACGTAGTGGTGGGGCGCAGTAATTACCGCCAGCGTCGTGGTTTCCTCTCGCGGATGCCGATGGGGTGAATTGCTATATGACGCTAGAAATCTCCAGGGCCTCCATGAAGCTTGGCAAAGTCGGGTGGCGACGCTAGGTCCCCCGTGCCTGGCCGCGTACAGAACACGCCGTGATTGGACGAAGCCCAAAGCCCCCTATGAATTTGGTCCCAAATCTCCTACCGCTCTTTCGCCTATACTGGCTTCGTTGCCGTTATTTAGGGTCCTCATTCCCCCAATTGACCGCTTCACACTGCAAACTGCCTCTCCTGTACTTCTTTTCACGTAGTGAAGTGCTTTACATCACATCTGCAAAATGTCTCCAATTGCGCTCGAACAGGAAGACCACTCTCGCGATGCCGCCTTCAACAAAGCCATGCACGGCAAGTCTGCGAAGGCCCGTGGTGGTATGACGGCCATGTTGCAGAAGGACAAGGCCGCACAACAAGCTGCCGTAGACGAGTACTTTAAACACTGGGACAACAAAGCGGCCGCAGAGGAGACTGAGGAGACTCGAAAGGTATGCGATGGTGTGGCATGATCCAGTATTGAGCATTCTAACAACAATAAGGAACGACGAGACGAATACGCTACCCTCACAAGGCACTACTACAACCTTGCGACCGACCTGTACGAGTACGGATGGGGCCAGAGCTTCCACTTCTGCCGCTATGCCTTTGGCGAGCCGTTCTACCAGGCCATTGCTCGCCACGAGCACTACCTTGCCCACAAGATGAACCTCCAAGACAACATGCGCGTTTTGGACGTTGGATGTGGTGTAGGAGGACCAGCTCGCGAGATTGTCAAGTTTGCTGGTGTCAATGTGGTTGGACTGAACAACAACGACTACCAGATCGAGCGCGCTACAGCGTACGCGGAGAAGGAGGGTCTTTCGGACAAGCTCAAGTTCACCAAGGGTGACTTCATGGTATTGTCTACTGCTCCACTTTCTCCGCCTTCCCACTGACTGGAACCCAGCAAATGTCTTTCCCTGACAACTCCTTCGACGCAGTCTACGCCATTGAAGCCACTGTCCACGCACCTTCCCTTGAAGGCATCTACAGCGAGATCTTCCGTGTCCTCAAGCCTGGCGGTGTTTTCGGTGTCTACGAGTGGCTCATGACCGACAAGTACGACAACGAGAACCCCCACCACCGCGAGATCCGCCTTGGTATCGAGATTGGTGACGGCATCTCAAACATGGAGAAGATCGAAGTCGCACTGAAGGCTATGAAGGCCGCTGGCTTCGAGATGGAGCACCACGAGGATCTGGCTGAGAGGGACGACCCCTACCCATGGTACTGGCCGCTCTCTGGTCAGCTGAAGTACATCAGCACCATTGGCGATATCCCCACGATCCTGCGCATGACCAAGATTGGACGTGGTCTTGTCCACAGGTTCGTTGGTGGACTCGAGATGATCGGCCTCGCCCCTAAGGGTACTCAGAAGACCGCCGACAGTCTCGCTCTTGCTGCCGACTGCCTTGTCGCTGGTGGCCGTGAGAAGCTGTTCACGCCGATGTACCTGATGGTCGGCCGGAAACCAGCGGACGCTTAAGCCTTCTCCCGCTATTCGTTTGTACTAGACTTCTCCTTTGCATGTTAGGTTCTTCTTGGCCTCGCGGCGTTTCTCTTCTATCTGGGAATACTACCTCCTCACTTTTGCATCGACACGTCTTCGAAGATGGGTACTATACACTGTAATATTGGGTAGCGCGAGGAGAAAAATAGGGACGGTGATGGTAACGCGACTCATGGTGAGCTTAGAGTAGAATGAAGAAGTAATATCTATGTCTTCTGTTGCAATGTCACGCAGACATAAATAATGAACCAGCATTGCCTATACCTTTCCCACAAACAACAACGTTATCATTCGCGAAGCTGTACTCAACGTAGTCTACCCGTCTGGTGTCAAGGCGCGTTGGATGATCATGTCTCTCGTACGTACCGAAATCCCCGGATTTAAGCCAGTAGGCTCGCAGCACAAAACATCAACTCAACTCCTTACAGAAGGTTATAAAAGAAAATGTAAGTCTTATTAGGAGTGCTAGACGAATACGTAAACATTTTTTACTGCTTTCTTCTACTTGTTGCTGCTGTATTATAGCTTCAAAAACTCGACTTAGTGCCGACTTATTCTTACTCGCGAGAGCATGTTGGGCCCTTTCGCGCTAATTAGCAGAGCTTGGGTGCATGGGCCTCTCAACGACTTCGATCCCCGACCTCCGAAGAAATTGTCCAGCAGCCTCAACCACGCAAACAAGCCTCAAGCGGCCATCACTCGCCCACGGCAAAACTCTCCACGTCCTCCTCCTCCTTACTCTCGACATCAATCGCCGCAATGGCCGCTTCACGACTCCTCCGACCGGCCTCGCGCCTGCTGTCAGCTTCCCGACCTGCGCCCGCGTTCCGACCAGCTTTCCGCGCTGCAGCGATAACACCGTCCATTGCGCGGAGAGGATATGCCTCGGGCCAGAAGGAGATGACGGTGCGAGAGGCGCTCAACGAGGCCATGGCCGAGGAGATGGAGGCGAACGACAAGGTCTTCGTGCTTGGAGAGGAGGTCGCGCAGTACAACGGAGCGTACGTTGCCCCCAGTCTGGCCCAATTGAACTGCACGCATATACGATAGGAAGTGACGGAATCAACCGCTTTGGAAATGACGGTTGATATCCAGGCTGTGTGCAGTTGGAGGTGCTAGCAACAGCAGCTAACAGAGCTCACAGATACAAAGTCACCAAGGGTCTGCTTGACCGCTTCGGCGAAAGGAGGGTAATCGACAGCCCCATCACAGAGTCTGGTTTCGCCGGTCTCACTGTCGGTGCTGCGCTCGCTGGCCTTCACCCCGTCGTACGTGTTTTCCTAATTGCTACCGTCACCAACACCGAGCTAATTTGATAACAGTGCGAGTTCATGACCTTCAACTTCGCCATGCAAGCCATTGACCAGATCATCAACTCGGCCGCAAAGACACACTACATGTCCGGTGGTATCCAGCCCTGCAACATTACTTTCCGCGGCCCCAACGGTTTCGCTTCCGGTGTTGCCGCACAGCACTCGCAGGATTTCTCCGCCTGGTACGGAAGTATTCCTGGTCTGAAGGTCGTTACACCGTACAGCGCCGAGGATGCGAAGGGTCTGCTCAAGGCGGCTATCCGTGATCCTAACCCAGTCGTTGTCTTGGAGAACGAGTAAGACACTCTATCCTGATATGAGGAGACGGCTTGCTAATCAATTGCAGGCTTCTGTACGGTCTGTCGTTCCCCATGAGCGAGGAGGCACAGAAGGACGACTTTGTCATCCCCGTATGTTCTCAAGCGATCCCAAGTGCACAAACTCCGACACTAACACACCACAGTTCGGCAAAGCCAAGATCGAGCGCCCAGGCAAGGATCTCACCATCGTAACCCTCTCCCGCTGCGTCGGCCAGTCGCTCACCGCCGCCGAGCAACTCAAGTCGAAATACGGCATCGAAGCCGAAGTCATCAACCTGCGCTCCATCAAGCCCCTCGACGTCGAGGCCATCGTCAAGTCGGTCAAGAAGACCGGCCACATGCTGTGCGTCGAGTCTGGCTTCCCTTCCTTCGGTGTTGGCGCTGAGATCATGGCTCTCACATGCGAGTATGCGTTCGACTACCTAGAGGCACCGCCTGCGCGTGTTACTGGTGCGGAAGTGCCAACCCCGTATGCGCAGAAGCTGGAGGAGATGAGCTTCCCGTCTGAGCAGTTGATTGTCGAGTATGCTGCTAAGCTGTTGAGGGCATAGATGCGTATGGGTGTGCAAGGGTGAACGTAATTGCGGGATGGAAAGGGAGATTTCTGTTGAGGGGAAATAGATTAGGTGACGCCAGGCGGCCTGGCTAGATCTATGAAGGATGGATGGATTGAATATGTATCAAAACGATAAGTGGCAGAGTTCATAGGGTTTCGAAGGGGAGTGAGTCCTTTTTTTTGGCCCAGCGGCTGGGTAGCATTTCTGGTTGCAGCTTGTACAAGTATTCCCACATTTTTGCAAGACTACTTCTAATGCTCTTTCTACACTCACACTTTTTACGCCTTCAAACCACATGTGTGTGTGTCTCTCTCTCTGTCTACTGGTTGCTCTGCTCTGCTTTTGCTCTCCTCCAGATGAAGATGTCGAATGAGAAAAAAATGCGGTTGAGTTCTCCATCCAGCTTATACCGAGCCTATACCGAGCCGCGTGGGCAATGGCTTAAACCCCACCTCCCAAAAAAAATTGCTCCCTGCCAGGATCGAACTGGCGACCTTGGGATTACTCTAGACAAGGTGCTAGATCATATATACGTATATCAACAGATGATAACTATGAGACCCACGTGATAACCAACTACACCAAGGAAGCTTGTTCTTGTGATTGTTTGCATGAAAATTTCTGCTCTCGTGAGGGCCGAAGCGAAATTGATACGTATATAACATAAATTAAACTCCGATAAGTTGAGGAAAGAAGGGGGACGGACCGGACCCCGCTCTTAGTTAGTTGAATAAATGTTATTACATAATGATTTGCCCGGACTAGGGAGGGAGGATTTAGACGGGAGGAGGACCCACATGTTGGTCGAGAACGAGGAGGAGTAGTAGTAGAACATCGACAGTTGTACACGGTGTGTGATATGGATGAGATACTTGAGCGGATGGTAGGGCTAGGGATTTCGACAGTTTTTTTGTTCACATTACTGACTGACTGACTGACTGACTGACTGACTGACTGACTGACTGACTGACTGACTGACGGCTCTTGAATGTGGCTTGACAGGACTGGAGTCTCCATGCAGAACCCGACAGGCGCGCGGATACACGATGTTGTGTGCTGTCTGTCAGTCGGAATGAATGCTGCAGTGTCGCTCGCTCCTTTATGGTAGGTAGAATGCAGACGCCGGGCTTGTAGTCCGTGAGAATATCATCTCGTACGTGTTGGGAAGAGGAAAGTAGACTGGATGTTCGTTGGCTGGTTAGCTGGGAGCTTGGATCAGCTACTTATGGGTCGTTTTCTCTTTCGTTCGCTTGCCTGGTTTCGTACGCATGCTTGCTTGGTGAGGAAGAAGTGTGAGGAGGAAAAATTCGTAGAAAGACATTGGGGAGTTAGCTTTGAAGTTGCGTGTGTTCACTTAGCAAAGTTGTGGCTTCGACTAATGGAGTCCTTGTGAACGGGAACATGTTGAGAGCGCTGTCACAGTTGTGTCATAAACGGACGTTGGTTGGTGCTGGCGATTCGAGTACTACATCCACCGACGTACATGTATATATCGCCGATCAGTTGCATTTGATTTTGAGCAGGAAGCCTTCGCTGCTGGCTGGGGCGCCCATCAGTCCTCACATGTAGTACAGGCAAGTCAGTCTAACGGCCGTAACAAGCTCATGCGCTCAGGCTTGTCTCATGTCACCCCATTTCTCGAAAAGAAAATCCTAGGCCCTGGGCTCCTTTCGCATGTCAGCGCCGGGAATGAGAAAGTCGGTGAACACAAAGTAATGTGCCCGAGTACTGAGACAATTCAGCCAGACGGATGTGTGTAACATATGCAGTGCATCTTTCTCGCGTCAAAGGGTGGGCACCCGCGTGGCAGATCAGCGACCACGTGGAGAATCGGGTGTCGCCTAGCCTCGATGTTTGTGAGCTGATGTTTTGAGTTTTGATTGTTAGACGTTGTTGTTTGATTTGATGTGGCTGCACGGAGATGCGCGCCGGGCTAGTCGATAGGGCATGGTTTGGCGTGCGGCGTGAAAACTCATGTTTCGTCTGTTGTTCCGCGGACACTGATTACCAATGTGCCTGTCAATACTTGATCGTGTACATGTATAACAGCCGGGACAATGGCTCTTGGGTGGAGATTGCTACGCTCATCGATGGGATTCCACAGCGGTTTGGCAATTTGATATTCGGAATTTGTGATTGGCGTAGGTTGATTACTTTTCCCTTGCACCACGCGGCAAGGTGGTGGTGGTGGTAATGGCCTCCGGGGCGCTCATGTCGAATTGTAACCGAGGTATTGAGGTAGAAATTGGATTGATGAGTGAACAGGTAATGCCGAGAACGCTTCTTGAGGATCTAGGCGGTGGCATGTTGTCAGAACCGCGAATGGAGCTCCACCGGGACGAGTTCTAGTGGACGAGGCGCTTATGGGAATTGTAGCGGCTTGAACATAGCCTGATCCTGACTGTTTTTAATGATTAGCACGCGAACTCGATATTCATGAGTGTCACTCAAGGGGGTTGCGAAGGTATGTTGCGCTGAAGGCGGGAGTTCTTGGCAGTGCTTGGAAGTTGTACAGGTCGTTCGGGGCTCCTGGCCATCTGACCCGACCTTCTTCAGCATCTTAGCGATGTTCCGACAGCAGTAGTGATCCTGGCTGGCTCCTGCGCTTCAGAAGCCATTTGCTCCACTTATTTATGTGCGCAGGACGAAGGCCGTTGTTAGGGTGTTTAGATTCTAGGTGTCATGCTTGTGAAGGGGTGGAACCGAAAGTCACCGACGTGAACTGGAAGCATAGACCGTTCTGATGTATAGGCGATTCGGGCATATGTTGCATGTCGTGTCACCCAAAGACGCAAGTCTCGCATGCGGAATTTCCACGTGCGTGCCCTGATGGGTATGCAACTACGTGCGTTGGGCTGCCTGATGTGCAACACGGACAAGATATCGACTGCTAGTTATAGCCCAGGCCTACCGAATGTGTACCATAGGTATCACATCACGCATGCGTGGTGACGCTAGTCTGGGACCACTTTTGTACATTAGAAGACGGCGATAAGGCCAGGCTTACGGTATTACTTGCCTCGTCAACTTGGTAAAGTGCAGGACATGTCCGGATGATTTCGATGTGCAGCCATATCATGCAAAGACAAGAAACCTCATGGGTCCACGGAAGGGTGTCAACACCAAAGTATGGGAATAATGCCGTTTCGGTCTGTTGTGGCTGCAACATAGCGATTTGTTGACGGCATTACAGGAGTGATGCCCACCCCCTTCGGTTCCGTATGCTGCGCGTGTACAGCCTGTCGCACAGCTGTTCCATCACGCAAGTGGCGAGCTGGTGGCTCTGAGTGCCACGTGGAAGCCACATCGTAGAACAAGAGAGGAACACACAGTGTGTTTTCGACGAGCTGACATGATGGTTGAACGGAAGAGGATTCCGGGCCTCCAGGGGCGATCACGAGGGCCGGGCCGGACCAATTACGCGATCAAATGGTAGGGCTCTCGATCTGAAGGAGGGCTACCGATTCGTTAGTGAGAAGTGGCGTTCTATGAAGTAGCGAAATGGCTTGCGGGGCGAGTATGGTCCTCGAGAAGCATGGGGCTTTCGATATAAGGTTGGAACAAGTAAGATGACGCAGTTCTCAGCTCTTGTGGCGAGATGTGGTGTGGTCAGGACGGCTCAGCTTCCACCGATTCTGGTGGACAGTGTTCTTGACATTAGGAGTAGCTTGAACCATTGGGATGCTTCTGTAGCACGATGCGGTGTGGTGTGATGAAGTTGCCTTGAGGCCCGCCTGGAGCATCGCTCCGGCCGGCATGCGGCTCGCAAAAGGAAATTCAAGTCTGAACGGCCGAAGCTCGCGTGCGAAGGAAGTGTCGGCGTTGTCACACAGGAGTAGTTCTAGACTGTGTATAATGGCGTCTGGCAGGGTTCATGATGCCGTGTCACGTCGCCGTCGTTTGCGTCTTCGGCTAACTGCGCCGTCCAAACCTCTCTACACAGTAGGCTCTGTTCCCTCCATGCTACCGTCCTCTTCATTGCGAGATATCCATCGGAGTTGCAATCGTATGATGAGGGCGCCCTAACTTTGGACAATCCATGCCGAAATTAGCTCGGGTGCAAACACGACGACATGGGCGTGCCAGCCTGGACAGCACTCCGCGACCAAAGCGCCTTAATGCACGCCTCTTTAGACGCTTCGGTATAGGCGTAAAGCCTCCCCTTTCTATCTGAGATCCCGTCTCTTGTTATTGACAGCGCCCAATGACAGCCCCACAAATATCGATACATCTCCGATCCTGCAGGCACCCTGGCCACATACAGATGGTGTCTTAAAATGGCCTGATCGGCGCAGCGTTGCCACGATTCCACCCACGGATCTGCGACGTCCATTTCCTTTCTGGAAGTGCGTGCCCAAGTTATACAGGTAACGAGACGCCGAACTTGCGCTGACCCTAGCAACAGCAGATGCTTTCACCAACGCCGTAGTGACCCGGGCAACCTCCAATGACTTCGATCGACGATTGACAATGGCACCATTCATCGTACGACTCGCTACCAGAGGAAGTCGGAATCAATGTGCCGCCTCTGCAAAGATTGGTGCTGCTGCTGTGATACTGCAAACCCATCCCCTTGCAATGATTCCTCCCCACTGCAATTGGCGAGTCGAGCATGCCGTTCGACTAGCTGCCAACCGACCGCGCCGGCGAAGTTCGGTGAGCAGACTTGAGGAGCTGGTATCAGACGTTAGTATTAGATTGGTAAGTGACTAGCCCGCAGAGTCCTATTCAGACTAGAATCTGCGGCTGCTACGTGGAAAAAGATCACATTACGGCTTGATTTTGTAAGTCCCAATCGATTATTGCCATGGCTCAAGGGGTTGTTTGGGTACTCGCAAATCGGACGCCAGTGTTATTGCATCTTACTTGTGTAGATGTCGGCTCGACCGCCTCCCACCCGTGGACACAACGTGCGCCACGTCCCCGTCCTTGTAGTTCATGGAGTCGCTCCAAACAACTACGGCATGGCTCAGATCATTTGCAAAATCGCTTCACCTGACCAATAATAATAGGCTGCGCTCGGGTCTCTTAGCCAATCGAGGAATTCGTGGTAGACAAAAAGCAAACCTCTAACGACCCGCGATGGGGCTTTCTACACGCTCGCATGATAAAATCGTTCGTTAATGTATTTGGTGCAGTAACAGGCTTTAACCGACGGGCCGACTTTAAGACACCACTGTTGCATGCACCACATTCCAGGATCATTATCAAGTTTTCTTGGTAAGTCAAAGCACCAACAGGTGCCATTCTACCATAAATGAACACATTGTCGAGACATTGCTTCAACGTGAGCTATTTGTCCTACCTGAACCCATACCCGATCCCACAGCCCGTCCGAGAGCGCCATTTACTGTGTGCCAACCTACGTGCAGACGCAAATACACCAACAGACCTGGAACACGGATTCATCCTTCCGCAAGTTCTCACCCAATCCACCCAACTCTCTTGTCCGAAGTCAAACCTGTCGCCTTATATCGAGCCGTCCAACGCCCGCCTGATAGTTTCACCGCAGTATTCGCACCATGAGCTCTCTTGAAGACACAACGCTGTTCTTTACTCTACCATTGGAACTGCGTGAGCAGATCTACAAA